TAAGAGCTCTGCTGCTAGCCAAAAGGTCAGCAGTTCAAATCCACCAGCCACTCCTTGGAAACCCTATGGGGCAGTTCTACTCTGTCCTATAGGGTTACTATGAGTTGGAATCGACTTGATGGCAACAGGTTTTCTTTTTTTTAATGGTAGTTCTATTTTTAGTTTTTTGAGGAATCGCTGCACACTGTTTTCCACAATGGCTGTACCAGTTTGCATACCTGCCAGCAGTGGGTAAGGGTTCCAGTTTCCCCGAATCCTTGCCAACAGTTATTGTTTTCTGTTTTTTTTGTTTTAATCTTAGCCATCCTAGTGGGAGTGAAATCGTATCTTATTGTGGTTTTGATTTACATCTCTCTGATGCTAATGACACTGAGCATCTTTTCATGTGTTTAGTGGCCATTTGAATGTCCTATTTGGTGAAATGTCTATTCAAGTCCTTTGCCCATTTTTTGATGGAGTAATTTGTCTTTTTGTTAAGTTTTTGAAGTTTATATATATTTTGGTTATTGGATTCGTGTCGAATATACGCTTTCCCAAGATATTCTCCCAGTCAGTAGCTTGTCTTTTCACTTTTTTGGTAAAGTCTTTTGCTGAACAGAAGTTTTTACTTTTTATGAGGTCCCATTTATTTATTTTGTCTTTTGCCATTTGTGCTTTTGTTACGATATTAGATAATCCATTGTTAAAAGTTAGGCCTGACAGCGTTGCCCTCTTTTTTCTTCTAAGAATTTTATGTTTTAGTTTGCACATTTAGGTCCTTAATTCATTTTGAATTTCGTTTTTTTTTTTTTTTGCATATGGTATGAGGCATGGATCCTGTTTCATTTTTCTGCATGTGGAAATCCAATTTTCCCAGCAACATTTATTGAAGAGATTCTTCTTTCCCCATTGAATGGACTTAGCACCCTTATCAAAAATCAGCTGACCAAGGATGCGTGGGTTTATTTCTGTTCTCTCAATTCTATTCCATTGGTCTGTGTGTCTGTTGTTATACCAGTACCAGGCTGTTTTGATTACTGTAGCTATATAGTGTTTTAAAATCAGGAAATTTGAGTCCTCTTATTTTGTTCTCTTTCAACGTTGCTTTAGCCATTTGGGGCCTCTTCCATTCCATATAAAGTTGAGGATTGATTTTTCTGTTTCTGTAAAGAAGGCTATTGGAATTTTGACTGGGATTGTGTTGAATCTATGGATTGCTTTGGGTAGTATGATAACAATATTAAGTCTTCTAATCCATGAACATGGAATATCTCTTCATTTATATGTCTTTAATCTCTCAGCAGTGTTTTACAGTTTTCATTGTATAAATCCTTCACGTCCCTGCTTAGATTTATTCCTAGGTATTTTATTCTCTTAGATGCTATTTTAAATGGAATTGTTTCCCTAATTTCCCTTTCAGATTTCTCATTGCCGGTGTATAGAACCCAGCTGGTTTTTGTTTGTTGACCTTGTACTCTGCAGCTTTGCTAAATTCCTCTTTTAGCTCTAGAAGTTTTCTTGTGGACTCTTTGGGATTTTGTCTTTTTTTTTTATGAGCAAGGAAACCTTTCCAAGAAGCCTCACAGCAGAACTCCCTTTACATTTCATTAGTCAGAATATAGTCACAGTCACAGGATCATTTCTAAATCAGTCTCTGGAAAGGAAAATTTTATTACCATGATTGGAGCTATACATATAGAGAAGACTGGATACCAAAGTAAAACGTAGGCTCTTCCAGCATGGAAGAAGCAGGGATTGGAAGTTGGTTTAAAAAACCAACATTGCCTGCTTTATGATATTCTCCTTAGCTGCTATCAGTTTGAAGAGCCAGTGTGTGGCATTGTGCATGGATTCTGGTCTCTTTGATCTTTTGTAAATTCCCTTACCTTTTCTGGGCTTTTGTTTCCTCCAGTTTAAGATGGGTTGGAGTTAGAACACCTGTTTCCTAAAGATCTCTCCAGGTTTACAATTGATTATTTATTCATCACATATTTATTGCGAGTTTACAAGTGAGTGCTTATTTTCTCCGCTATGGAGTTTTGTCTTCTACTACCCACTATACAGCAGAAATTGTTTTTATGAAGGTCAGAAGAGATCTTAGTGCTAAATCTGATACTTCTCTGTTCTTTCTCACTGTGGATTTTATCCTTACTTAAGAGGAAGTTTTATAAAGGTAGTAGAGTAATGTCTCTGTAGTCAGATTTTCCAGGTTCAAATCTTCTGTCTGCTACTTTGAACAAGTTTTTACCAGCGTCTGCTTCATTTCCCTTGTCTATGAAATAGGAAACACAATAGCAATTTCCTCATAGGGTTGTAGTGAGGATTAAATGAGAAATGTTTGTAAGGTACTTAGAATAGTACTTGACACCTACTGAATACTCAAAAGATATTACCTATTTTTTGTAAATCTTACTTCTGATTGTAACTTGTAAGACTTCTTTGTTGGCACTTCTTCATTTTCAAATAGCTTAAATGATGGTGTTCTATTTTGTATCCTTTTCTCTTTTCCTTCTACAGACTCCATGAATGATGTCATCTCTTTACTTGACTTCAATTACTTATTATTTACTGCTAATTCTCAAAACTGTATCTCTAGCCCAGCTCTCTCTCCTGAGCTTCAAACATGTATATCTAGCTACCTAAACACGGTTTTATTTGGATGTCTTGCTTGTACCTCAAATACAAGGGTGTTGTCTTGAGGGAAAGAATGCATAAGTAAGGGAAAACATGGTATTTCCTCTCTTCCCTTCTTCCCTCTAATGTTTCTGTAATTATCCCGTGTCATCTTAGTAGCATTCTAGCTTTCAAGTCTTTTCTTCATCATCGCTAGGTCCCATTTTACTCTTCATCTTAAGCTTATTTGCAGCTCACCTAGCTTCTCAGTGCAGCCCAAATTCTAGTTCAAGAGTCCTCTCATCTTATAGCTAGGAAGACAAGAACCAAAGAGTACCAAACTCAGCTTAGTGTCTCTTGGCTACTTCAGTTTAGATCTCATCCAGTAGTTTTGATGGTCTGCCTTAATGGGCCGACAGCATCATCATTTCCTGGGAACTTGTTAGAAATGTAAATTCTTGGGCCCAATCCCAGTTCTTGGGCCCAATCCCAGATCTACTTAAACAGAAACTGAGGGGTAGGGCAGCAATCTGATTCTGATGTGCACTAAATTTGAGAATCACTGTTCTAGTATATTGACTGTTAGGGCTGCCAGAGGAAAATCCTTCAATTGGGTTGTCTGACAGGCTGATTTGAGCACCGATTAAATCACTTGGGGAGTCAGAAAAATGATTGCTTTAGGGGAAAAGACTTATTTATAAATTAGAGAATGAGCAGGGAGAGTCCGAAACTTTGTTTTGCCATATTGAGTGGCTTATTGCCAGTTTGTTATAAATCAGAACGTTAATTTTTGGCCCTGTTTATAGTGAATTGAAACATTTAAATGTAAATTCAGTTAATTTTTAACTGTATTTTGCATGAACTGAAAGGTATTTCTTTGTGTGAAAAACATTGCTATTTTGTCTCTTTTTCAATGGGGGAAATACAGTAAAACCTGCGAAAGCCGGAACCTGTTTCAGGTGGAAACCTGTCAGAGAAGGAAAACTAAAATATTTTCCACTAAAATGAGCGATATAAAAGTGGTAAGGCTACACCCTGTCAAAGGCGGAAAGCTTGAGAGACCCGAAAAAATAAGGCCAGTCCCATCAAGTTCCATTCCTCACAGGTTTCGCTGTATTATCTTTTAAAGTGTACAATATTTATAGGCACTGTGCCCAACTGTATTTTCTGTTAAGTTGCTTCCTTGGCTAGTCAAGTAAAGAAAACTAAATCATTTTTAGAGATATTTTCCGAAACATTAAAATTTGTACAGGTGTGTAGCATTGTGATCTAACATCATGATGCATGCTGGTTATGAAGTTTATGTAATAGTAGTCAAAGAAATGAAATCCTTCAGTGGACAGGAAGTAATAAAATCATACATTACTATTCTTGCGGATAGGTATCTCCTTATCTAGTTGTAAATTATTAACAATAAAAAACGCCACCATCTAAAGCAGGTAAGTAATATTTTCAAAATAAGGTATTGGGAACATGTATGCTTCTCTTTGGAGGTTAATTATCCAAAGTTATCTTGACTGTATTATAGCTATCAATATGTGTAAATATTAAATAGATTGGGGTTTTTAAACGAGCTGCAAGTATGCCATGTGATCACTGACAGCTACTACTGAATCTTAGTTTAAGCAAAGGTGATTGTCACTATGAGTTGGAATTGACAGCAGCAGGTTTGTTTTTTTTTTTATTTTAAGACTAGTACTAAGACTACTACACTCCTAGTCTGGCAGTTTGTCATACTGCGGTGGCTTGTGTGTAGCTGTGATGCTGGAAGCTATGCCACTGATATTTCAATTATCAGCAAGGCTGCGCACGGAAGACAGGTTTCAGCGCAATTTTCACAGACTAAGACAGTCTGGGAACAAAGGCCTGGTGATCTACTTCCAAAAATTAGGCAGTGAAAACCGTGTGGATTACAACAGAATATTGCCCAATACAGTGCTGGAAGATGAGCCCCCTAGGTTGGAAGACACTCAGTACACAGTGGCCACAATAATGGACTCATGCGTACCATGATTCTAAAGGTGGCATAAGACTGGGCATTGTTTCGTTCTGTTGTACGTGGGGTTGCCATGAGTTGGAGCTGACTTGATGGCATCTAACAACAAGAAGACCTAAATACATTTGTTAATATTTTTTTCTTGGATGAGGTTTTTAAATATTTGGTGTTTAGTTGTGTAACATTAAAGTTTAAATTCTGGAAGTGTTGTAATATGAAAATCTCCCAGGACTACCACCCTTTGGAAAAGAAAATGTGGTTTATTGTTTTGCTTTATGAATTTCTTGAGGTCAAGAACAGATTTATTTATAAACCTATCACATCTTCCAGTTAATGCCTTGAAAAAAAGAGGCATTCAGTACATGTTAAACTGAATTTTATTGGAGTCTATTCCTTGTGCTGATACCTCTGATAGAGTAGACTTTTAAAAACTACATTAAGAGTCTGATGGCAGAAGAAGTGACATAAGTGACATTTATTTACCAGGTTTTCATTTACTGTGACATCAAATTCTCATTTACTGTGACAAATAGTAACTACTTGCTACTAGTTTTTTTGTAATTAGTTTTTAATCAGTCATACTGATAATTCCATCTTTTGTAGTTAGTGGTATACCAAGGAGATTCAAAGAAAAATAACAGTCACTATGCAATTTTAGAAGATTTTTCATTATCCAAGCTTTTTACCATTAAGTAGTCTTACACCACAGCTGCCATAAAAATCTTTTTTGTTAAAAGTTTTATAGTGTGTAAGTACTTCGGGGAGAATAGAAATCCTTTAATTATTTTATGGAGGCAAGTAACTTGTTTCACATTGCAGATTTTATTTTGTAAGTGACGTGTTTTTATTTAATAAAATGTGTTACGTATGTGTTTACTTTTTGCTCTTAATAAAACATACTAGTGGGGTTAGCATCTTTAGAAATCCTTTTTGAAGACTTTATAGTGTTTTCATTACTTTTTATTTTTTCCTTGCAGGGAATGTCTTGGGAAACATGAGGTGAGTCAGGCAGTAATTGTTAAATAAAGCTTGTTTTTATCTCATCTGTACTAATACTGTCAGAAATAACAAAGTCAAAGTATTGTTATTTTAGTGTTAAGAGTACAAGAGTTTGTCTACTAATTTAAAAAATATACACTGCTTTTATTTGAGAATTAGCCTATCTATATGCATTCACTACAGAATTATTGTTTTGAATTTTAGGAATGCAGTGTTTTGCTTTTAGGCATTTGTTTTTTGATAGGTTACTTTGATTTTAATAACTGTTATTCATTGAGTCCTTATTACATAGTAGGCAAGCCCTTTACTCATATTATCCATTTAGTCTTCTTGGCAATTTAGGAAGAAGATATTTTGCCTTTTCTAAGGTCACTCAGGAAGAGCCCTGGTGGCACAGTGGTTAAAATGCTTGGCTGCTAACCAAAAGGTCAGCAGTTTGAACCCACCAGCCACTTCACAGGAGAAGGTTGTGGCAGTCTGCTTCCGTAAAGATTTACAGCCTTGGAAAACCCTATAGGGCAGTTCTACTCTGTCCTTAGGATCACTATGAGTCGGAATTGACTTGACAGCAGTGGGTTTGGTTTTTTGGTTTAAGGTCACTCAGTTTTGTAGTAAAGCACAGCTACATCTGAAGGGCATGTTTTCTGGTTCCTATTGTAACAGGCAGTACTGAGAACCAAAGCTACTTATTTTCCTTACCTTAGGGCCATCAGAGCTTTGGGTTTGTAGATTTTAGTTCTGTTATAATTGTCTTCACTTTGTATTAGTGAAAACGTACTAGACCTTTGTGAAACTTGTTCTCAAATGATAGCTGAGTCATCACAGAACCATGAGTGCAAAAGCTTTTTTGTGTGTGTTGTGCTGATTTTCCTATTTTATTTTAGATAAGTCCACTACCATGCCATGCTGTAGGACCTTACTCTTGTAAGAGAGTTTGTGGACGAACCTTAGATTGTAAGAATCATACTTGTATGAAAGAATGCCATAAAGTAACTGTAATTGATGGCTGCCCAGACAAAAATAAGGTAAGGTCCTTAGGTTGAATGTACTTACAGTATGTTCAAAGCCTTTTTTTTTCCCAACAATTTTATCAAATATTTTTCCATTTTGTTATAGCTTCTTTTTTCTTCTTTCTTGCCGTTATCCCCTCTTCTTACATACTGTAAGACAGCCAAGTTTAACAGCTTGGTATATATTTCGTCCTGTTTTCTGCTTGCTCATAATAATGTGCTTTCTTTTTTTGTTGTTGTTGTAGTTTAAGTGATAATGTGCTTTCTGATGTGGAACTCTTAACATATTGTACCTTTGTTAACACATACGATTTTATTTTATGATAAAAATTCAGAAATTATGAGTCTTCTTAAATAGTAGTAAGCAGTGTCACCTCCACTTCTGTCCATTCAGTTATCTAGTCTAGAGCATTCACTCTCAGCTATTTTTCAAACCTGGCACATATGATAGATGATGTTCACAATTTCAACGAATTCCTAACCTTTTGTTAGAATGTAAAGCAAATAGCATCACAGATACAAAATGTGTACATGTGTGTATGAAATTCACTGAAAGCATTTTGAAAGCATATGAGAAATTAACCATTCAAGAGTCTCTAAGAATTTTACAAGGAAAAACAAATACGGTTAATTGAATTTTAAATAATATTAAACTTTATTTTTTAAAATAGTTTTTTTTCCTAGACTTCCATTCTATAAAAAAAACCAAACCCGTTGCCATCGAGTCAATTCCGACTCACAGTGACCCTACAGGACAGAGTAGAACTGCCCCCATAGGGTTTCCAAGGAGCACCTGGTGGATTTGAACTGCTCACGTTTCGGTTAGCAGCCATAGCGCTTAACCACTACGCCACCAGGGTTTCCTCTATTCTATAGGGAATCATAATATTAGCAAGTGTGCTTAATGAGGAAGAAATAAAAAATTTTACGCTTCATTTTATTATTTATCTTCATTGCCCTTGTCCCTTAACAGCACCTGTTAAGTTTATCTTCAGAGTAGATCCTGAATCTGACCATTTCTCGTAACTTCTGCCACTAACACCTTCATCCAAGCCACCATCACCTCTTACTTAGACTTCTGCAGTGTTTTCTTTACCAAACTTCCAGCTTCCACTTTTGGAATCAATTCCACAAATTGATGTTTTAAAAAATGTAAATTAGGCATAATCACCCTGCTCAAAACCCTTCAGGAACTTTTTATCGCTCTCAGAATGAAATCTACAAACCTTACCTTGACCTGTAAGGCTCTATAATGATCTAGCTCCTGACTGCCTTTCCCAAATCTTTAATTATCACTCTCTCCCTTGCTCACTTCTGTGTGTGTTTTTGCTGTTTCTTGAACATTCCATGTTCTTACCTCAGGATCTTGCTCTTATTATTCCTCTTCTCTGGAACTCTACATTCTTAGGGCTAGCTCCCTTATTTCAGTTTCTCTTCAAATATAGACTTTATCTGACAGGCTTCCTTCTTTTGCTGCCATCATTCTCTCTTATCCTGCTTTGTCTTCATAGCATTTATGAAGGTATTATGTTCTTTACCTCCCACACTTAAACGTAACTTCCATGGGGCTAGAGATCTGTCCTGTCTCGCATATACTCAGTGCTTGGGATAATACTTGGTACATAAATGTTGAATAAGTATTTTGTGGAGTAAATGAATATACCTTTTAAAATAAATAAACAATTATTTATAGAAGAATGTTTTCATAATTTGAAACACTTTTTCTTTTTAATTCTAAATATCAAATAGCCCAGAATTTTATTAACATAATAACCATTGTAATCTTGGCTGTACTTAGGAAAGATAGCGTCTTACTTATCTAGTGCTGCTATAACAGAAATATCACAAATGGTTGGCTTCAACAAATAGAAATTTACTTCCTCACTGTTTAGGAGGCTAGTAGTCTGGACTTAGGTCACTGGCTCTAGGGGAAGCCTTTTTCTCTTTGTCAGCTCTAGAGCAAGGTCCTTGTCTCTTGAGCTTCTGCTCCTGGGTGATCCTTATGTGGCCTGGCTTCTCTACTTGCTTGCTTGCTTTTATATCTCAGAAGAGATTGATTTAAGAGTCACCCTACACTAATACTTCCTCATTAACATAACAAAGAAAAGCCCTTCCCAAATGGGATTACAACCACAGGTGTAGAGGTTAGGATTTATAGCACATATTTTTGGGGGATACAATTCAGTCCATAACAGATAATGAAAAAATATTTAACCATTAAGACTTAGTATCTACATCTACAGCCCTTTAACTTATTTTATCTGTGACAATGGATTACATGTGAACATAAAGAAAACAAAAATCCTCACAACTGCATCAGTTATCAACATTAAGATAAACAGAAAATATTGAAGTTGTCAAGGATTTCATTTTACTTGGATCCACAGTCACACCCACAGAAGCAGCAGTCAGGAAATTAAACGAAGCATTGCATTGGGCGTATCTGCAAAAGACTTTTTTCAAGTGTTAAAAAGCAAAGATGTGACTTTGAGGACCAAGGTGCCCCTGACCCAAGCCATGGTGATTTTCAGTCTCATATGCATGTGAAAGCTGAACAATGAATAAGGAAGCGCAAAGAAGAATTGATGCCTTTCAACTATCATGTTGTCAGAAAATATTGAATATACCATAGACTGCCAGAAGAACGAACAAAACTATTTTGGAGGAAGTATAGTCAGAATGCTCCTCAGAAACAAGGATGGCAAGATTTCATCTTACATACTTTGGACCTGTTACCAGGAGGACCAGTCCCTGTAGAAGGACATCATGCTTGTAAAGTAGAGGATCAGCAAAAAAGAAGACCCTCAATGAGATGGATTGACACAGTGGCTGCAACAATGGGCTCAAACGTAGCAATGATTGTGAGGATGGCCCAGGACCTGGCAGTGTTTTGTTTTGTTTTACAATGGGGACTGACTCAATGGCATCTAACAACAGCATGACGTGTGAAAATAATCAATATCCTGCAGTAAAAAACTTTAACCTTTTTTAGTAAATGCTGATACAAGTTAAATTATTAAATTACTAGAGCAGACAGATGCCTTGGTAAGTTACATTGAGTACATTTAATTTTAAATGTAACTTACTTTAGTTATATTGTGGGATATTAAATAAACTGCTGGTCATTTTCCTTTTTCCCTCAATTGTGTTTCTCTTTGGCAAGATAAATATTTCTAAAATATGGAATGCTTTGGTAGTTTTTATTTATATGTTAGCAGTGTGCTTATTTCTTTAGTTTGATGATCATTGTGCTTGTTGGGTGTTAAATGGATTTATAACATTTTGTTCTGTACTTTTTCTGCTGCTGACTCTTCTTTCGAAAGTAATTTACATTATTAGTAGGGACACTTTGTGTAGTCAAGTTCATTTTATAGATGAGGCAGTTTGGTTAATAAGGTTCATAGGCATAAAAATCTATGTGAATAATGATCCTATTGATCATCTTGTTGTTCTCCGTTTTGAATGTTTTTACGATGAGTGAGAGCATGTACCATTGTATTAACTGCGTTTCTAAGATTAGTGGGTAAGAAGGCACACTGACTCTAACTTTATAACTTTAATATATAGAAATATTAGACTTATGTACTTAGCTGATTTATTTCCTTGCCTATTTATCAGGCTGGCACAGAATGCTTTCAGTGTGAAGAAGGGTGCTCTAAATCACGGCCACTGGGTTGTCCTCATCCTTGTGTTTTGCCTTGTCACCCTGGGGAATGTCCTCCTTGTGTGCAGATGCTTAGAATAAAATGTCACTGCAAGATCACAAGCCTATATGTGGAATGTAGGTAAGTGGACTGAAGAAATATTTTTGTTTTACTAAAAAATTGATATCTTTTTATAATTCAGAATCCTTTACAGTATACTTTAAGGTCATGTTTTTCATTTTGTTTCTAAGACTCAAACAAACAAAAAACCCAAACTCGTTGCCGTCAAATTGATTCTGACTCATAGTGACCCTCTAGGACAGATAGAACTGCCCCATAGGGTTTCCAAAGAATAGCTGGTGGATTCGAACTGTCGACCTTTTGGTTAGCAGCCGTGCTCTTAACCACTGCACCCCCAGGGCTCCTCTTTAGACTCTAGAGGCCTAGATTTTCCATTAGAGACCTGGAAGGGAGAAATGTAGAATACGTCACCTCCTAGATGCTCCACCCTGAGTTCAACCAGGGCAGTTCTACTTTTTTCCACTTGGAGATTCTGTGTAAGAGTTTATTAGGAAAAAAGTTGTATCACTGCTTTTGAAAATTAGAGAAGCATCCTGTAACAGATTGTTCAAATAATGGTGTCAACCTAGAATTTTGTTAGATCAAAAATTGCCTTGCACATAGTTACTGAGGCATAATTTTTTAATTAATGAATTTTAAAAGACTTGTTTATTATAAATTTTGCAGTAATAGCATTTATCGTACTAGGATATGCGACCTGTTTTCTTTAAAAATCTGCAAATTTTTCCTTGTTAATTATCTAGAGGAAAAAAAATCTCATTTTTTCTACTTAATCATCATCTCAGCTCTTATTTCATGTAAGTCTATAAAGTGGGCTTTCATAAATATAGTTTACTCAAGTTAAAGGTGGGAAAACAGGTTTCCCCCATCCAAAAGTAGAGCTTTCCTTTGAAACATTTCCTAAAGTGAAATGGCATCAAGCAAAGACGCAATTACCATTAATTTATATGGAAAAAATTTTTGAGCCTTCCCAGACCCAGGACGCTTACATCCAGTTTTATGCTAAGTGTAACACTCTTAAGGGCTCTCTTAGGCTTTTCTGATACTTTAGGACACATCTTACTAACGGATGCACAAAGTAAATTGAGATAAACCACAGATGCTCGCAGACACAGTTTGAAGCTGTGGTGGCTTGATGCTGAGTATCGTTTCGGGGAGGGAGCTTGGCAACAGCACTCTTACTGCTCTGGGTGTGTGTTGCCTCCTTAAGGGCTTGTGTTGCCACCTTAAGGGCTTGCTGCAAAACATGCTGAATGCTATTTCTGCTTTTCACCTTTTTTCCAGTAAAAGTGAAAATCCTCTTTGGATTTCTTTCAGTTAGGTTCTAATGTAGGTCTTTTGTGAAAGTGAAGGGGCGTAAAGCAAACTTTCGAAAAGTGGGGTTTACCTGTATGACCTTACTTCAGATTTTTTTTTAGCATAATTACATTTTGAAAAGTGCCTGTTAATATTGTCTTAAGTTTGTTTTTGTCACTTATACTCCAGACTCATGCCTTGTGAAATTGGAAAAGCCAGTCAAATTTGGTTCTTTCAAATATTAAAATTACTTTTTTTGAAAATTTGAAAATAAAGTATTATAATTTTTAGTTTTAGAAGTTTTGTAGGGGGAGCTAAAAGGACATTTTTGCATTATCTTGGGCAGTACTGATGAAAGACATTGAGTGAGCGGTCATAGACCTGCATTCCTTTTATTATATTCTCGGCTCTCTCAACCTTAAGTTGCATTCTTTATCTAATTCTTAGTTTCTATTCCTAAATAAGAGTTTTGTTGTATCTAACATTTCTGTCATCTTTTTTTAACTAGAAACGTTACTGTTTTTAGAATATAATACAGAATGAAACACTTTGTTTAAAATTAAGGCATCGAATTTAACCTAATTTGAGACTTAAATTTATTCATTTTTTAATCTGACATCATTTTTTGTTCGTTCTGTTAAATGATTTGATGTTGGTTAAAGTGCTGTCCGCCTGGCTAAGGAGGTGCCTACTAGGTTTCTTCACATCTGTTTAGATGCTTTAAGAAGATCTGAATTAAAATTATCTATAAGGGAAAGCTACTAGCAGGAACTATTAGAAAGAGGCCAGGCACAGATGATATTTTGTGTGTGTTTTATATTCACTTCTTGCATCGATTGCCCTTTTGGCATTTCATGTTGGTAGAAGATAAAGGTGTGGATGGTGTGAGTTAAGAAAATATTTTAGTAATTTGAAGACAACTGTTACAGAAACAATTAAAAATACTCCCTTGAAAAATGAAATAAATAAAATAATTTTATGGCGATTTGAAATTGTGAGTTATTTTTAGAAAGATTGTTATAAAATGAACTTTGATATGAATGTCATCAAACTTCCTCTCATATGTTTAGGAAAATAACCACAGCTGATATCAATGAAAAGAATCTCCTCAGTTCTTGCAAGAACCAGTGCCCTAAAGAGGTAAGCTTTAATGAGACCTTTTATATTGTATTCCTTGGGCATTGTTTCTCTTGAATTTGAATTTTCTCTTTCCTTGTTTGGTCAACTTGTTTTGTTTTGTTTTTTGTATTAGTAAATGGGTCCAGAAGGGATATGTTACTGATGTCTGTAAAAATGTAACACATATATTTAAGGTGGATGCACATCTCTTTATAAGATTTAAGAGTATTAGAACTAGGAATGACCTTTTAGAAGCTTAAGAAAAATAATTTTAAAGATAGCTTACTACATATTAGTGTTGATCTAATGCTTACCCCCAAAATATGACGCAGGCTTAAAATATAAACAGATCAAGAGCTCTGTGGGTCATAGGCACTTAGACAGTGAATTTATGGTAGGCTGTATGTCTTTGTGTGTGCATGCATGTGTGTATTCATACGTTTGTGGTGTGGGATGGGTGGGAGACATCCATGGCATCTTGAGGATGGTATCATAGAGGATACCTCTGTACATTTTTATTGTGCCTTTGGTACTGGTACCATGCAGATCATTGAACCTTTAAAGTTCATTGTTATGTTAAAGTCAGCATAGAGCATTCAAGTTGTATTTTTAAAGATTCTGCTGCTTGTATGTGCATTTTATTCAAACTAAAACTGTCAAAAGTAGTTCAGAAAGAAGTTGTTCAGAGTAAAAAGGTAAAACTCACTAGTGATTTGTCCTCGCAATGATTGGAGAAACCAAAGTAGTCCATCTACATTTGACCATTCTAGAAGTGAGGATGCTTATTTTTTGTTGTTGTTGGAGATGGGACAATGGCAATTACGTGATTTGGGTGGACGTTCAGAAAGGGATTTTTTTTTTTTACTTACAAATGTTCTGGTAGTACCGCTTTTCTTTAAATTCTTTGTTCTGAGGCAGTGTTATGGATTGAATTGTGTCCCCCCCCAAAATATGTGCTGTAAATCCTAACCTCTGTGCCTATGGTTATAATTCCATTTGGGATGAGGTTATCTTTGTTATGTTAATGAGACAGGATTAGTATAGGCCATATCTTGAGTCAGTCTTTTTTTGAGATATAAAAGAGATTATATGCAAGCTAGCAAGCAGAGATAGGGTAAGATAGATGCCAAGCCACATGAAGATTGCCTAGGAGCAGAAGCTCAAAAGAGACAAGGACCTTCCTCCAGAGCCTACACAGAGAGAAAGCCTTCCCCTAGAGCTGGCATGCTGAATTCAGACTTATGGTCTTCTGAAGGAAACCCTGGCGGCATAGTGGTTAGCAGTTCGAATCCACCAGTCGCTCCTTGGAAACCCTATGGGGCAGTTCTACTCAGTCCTGTAGGGTTGCTATGAGTTGGAATCGACTCGATGGCCTCAGGTTCAGATTTAGTGTTCTAAAATGTGAGAAAATAAATTTCTGTTTGTTAAAGCTACCTATTTGCGTTATTTCTGTTATAACAGCACTAGATAACTAAGACAGGCACTTACCTGTTTCTCATCTTATTTAGAGGCAGAAGGAGATGATAATGAAGTCTTAATATAGTAATCCTTCATTAAATATGAAATAAAAATCAAGGCGTAATACTTTTTTGTTAACAATGTTTCTTTTTAACTAAAGCTTTTGACCTTTTCTTAATGAATTTCTGTTTATTTTAAGAACTGTTGGAAATTGAACCTTGGAATTTAAAAAGTTATATAAGATAAAAATGGAGACCATTTGAAACAATAAGTGATTATTTTAATAATCCTATTTTTGCTGTATAAATGACTTTAGGAGAACAGGATATTTCAAATTTAGTTTTCTGAATTCTTCAAGTACTGAATTTTCCCTTGTTAAAATAAATCTTCTGTCTAAATTCAGATTCCAGGTAATAAGTGGTTGAGAAAGTATTATTTTTACTGTCTGACACAGTAACTTGGTATGGTTTGGCAGTTAGAAATACAGTAATTTAATTCGGGGTTGGCTAATTGGCAATTTAGCATTGCCTCAGCTGCTTAAACTGTGATACTCTTAGGACATTTGGTAGACTAGATGAGTGGGTACTGTTTATTTAATAATTCTTTGTCCATGCTCATGATTTTTGGGTTCTAGGTCATTTTGGCCACCAGTCATCTGTCAGTTTGTCATACTGTGGTGGCTTATGTGTTGCCGTGATACTGGAAGCTATGGCACCAGTATTTCAAATACCAGCAGTGTTACCCATGGTGGGTAGGTTTCAGCGGAGCTTGCAGACTAAGACAGGCTAGGAAAAAGGACCTGGCTTTCTACTTCTAAAAAATTTGGCCAATGAAAACCTTGTGAATAGCAGGAGAACATTGTCTGATATAGTGCTGGAAAACAAGCCCCTCAAGTTGAAAGGCACTCAAAATAGGACTGGGAAAGAGCTGCCACCTCAAAGTAGAGTTGACCTTAATGACATGGGTGGAGTCAAGCTTCTCGGACCTTCATTTACTGATGTGGCATGACTCAAAATGAGAAGAAACAGCTGCAAGCATCCATTAATATCGGAATGTGGAGTGTACGAAGTATGAATCTAGGAAAATTGGAAGTCGTCAAAAGTGAAATGGAATGCATAAACATCGGTATCCTAGGCGTTAGTGAGCTGAAATGGACTGGTATTGGCCATTTTGAATAGGAAAACCATATGAGATACCATGCTGGGAATGACAACTCGAAGAGGAATGGCATCGCATTAATTGTCAAAATGAACATTTTAAGATCCATCCTGAAGTACAACGCTGGCAGGCTGGGCCATAATTCTCAGTGGTTTGGCCGTTATGTAATGATGTAGTTTGGTAGTTATGTAATGATATAGTCATCCTCCATGATGTGATCTGATGTTATCAGCCAATCAGTTATAAGGGGAGTTTCCACCAGTGTATATAGATGTTCTGGCAAAGTTCTCTTGCTTTTACTGGATGCTGCATCCAGCTTGTCATCATCTGATTCTGGTTCTTGGGACTTGAGCCAGCTGCCTGCTGTGTTGCCTGCCAGTCTTGGGATCCATCATCTTCCACAGCCTGTGACCCAGCAGCCTGCCATCTTACCTGCTGATCTTGGATTTGTCAGCCTCAATAGCCCGTGAGCCAGAGGCCTGCCATCTAACCTACCAATCTTGGGTTCCTCAGCCCCTGCACCTACAAGAGTCAGGAGAAGCCTTCAGCCTGATGTTTGACCCATGGACTTGGGACTTGCCAGCCTCTACAACCACGTAAACCATTTCCTCTCTCACTTTCTCTTTCTCTAGAGAACCTAGCCTAAGACAGATAATATCCATATGCCTACAAGGAAGACCAGTTAATATGACCATTATTCAAATTTACATACCAACCACTAAGGCTGAAGATGAAGAAATTGAAGATTTTTACCAACTTCTGTGGTCTGAAATTAATCAAACATGCAATCAGGATGTATTGATAATTACTTGTGATTGGGATGGGAAAGTTGGAAACAAAAGAGGAGGATTGGTAGTTGGAAAATATGGCCTTGGTGGTAGAAATGACGCCGGATATCGCATGATGGAATTTTGTAAAACCAATGACTTCTTCATTGCAAAGACCTTTTTTCACCAATATAAGTGGCTGCTATACACGTGGACCTTGCCAGATCGAGTACACAGGAATCAAATAGACTACATCTGTGGAAAGAGACGATGGAGAAGTTCAGTATCATCAGAACAAGGCCAAGGGCCAACTACGAAACAGACCATCAGTTGCTCATATGCAAGCTCATGTTGAAGCTGAAGAAAATTGGAACAAGTCCAGGAGGGTCAAAGTATGACCTTGAGTGTATCGTGCCTGAATTTAGAGACCATCTCAAGAATGGATTTGATGCATTGAACACTAATGACTGAAGACCAGATGAGTTGTTGGATGACATGAAGGATATCATACATAAAGAAAGCAAAAGGTCATTGAAAAGACAGGAAAGAAAGAAAAGACCAAAATTGAAGTCAGAAGAGACTCTGAAACTTGCTCTTAAACATAGAGTAGCTAAAGCAAGTGGAAAAATAATGAAGTAAAAGAGCTGAACTGAAGATTTCAAAGGGCAGCTCAAGAAGACATAGTAAAATATCATAATGAAATGTGCGAAGACCTGGAATTAGAAAATCAAAAGGGTAGAACACATTCGGCATTTCTCAGGCTGAAATAACTGAAGAAAAAATCCAAGCCTCGAGTTACAATATTGAAGGATTCTATGGGCAAAATATTGAATGACACAGGAAGCATCAAAATAAGATGGAAAGAATACACAGAGTCGCTGTATCAAAAAGAATTGGTCGACATTTAACCATTTCAGGAGGTAGCATACGATTAAGAACCAATGGTATTGAAGGAAGAAGTCCAAGCTACACTGAAGGCATTGGCATAAAACAAAACTCCAGGATTTGACAGAATATAATTGAGATGTTTTAACAAAAGGATGTAATACTGGAAGTGCTTACTCGTCTGTGCCAAGAAATTTGGAAGACAGCTACCTGGCCAACTGACTGGAAGAGATCCCTATTTGTGCCCATTCCAAAAAAAAGTGATCCAACACAATGTGGAAGTTATCAAACAATATCATTAATATCAGACACAAGTAAAATTTTGCTGAAGATAATTCAAAAATGATTGCAGCAGTTCACGGACAGGGAACTGCCAGAAATTCAAGCCGAATTCAGACGAGGACATGGAAAGAGGGATGTCATACGGATCTTGGCTGAGAGCAGAGAATACCAGAAAGATGTTTACCTGTATTTCATTGACTGTGTAAAGGCATTCAGCTGTGTGGATCATAACAAATTATGGATAACATTGTGAAGAATAGGAATTCCAGAACACTTTATTGTGCTCTCGCAGAACTTGCACATAAACCAAGAGGCAGTCATTTGAACAGAACAAGGGGATACTGCGTGGTTTAAAATTAGGAAAGGCGTTAGGGTTGTATCCTTTCACCATACCTATTCAATCTGTATGCTGAGCAAATAATCCTAGAAGCTGGACTATGAAGAAAAACTCGGCATCAGGGTTGGACAAAGACTCATTAGTAACCTGCAATATGCAGATGACACAACCTTGCTTGCTGAAAGTGAAGAGGACTTGAAGCACTTACTGATGAAAGTCAGACTACAACCTTCAGTATGGATTACATTTCAACATAAAGAAAACAAAAATCCTCACAGCTGTGCCAGTAAGCCACATCATGATAAACAGAGAAAATATTGACATTGTCAAGGATTTCATTTTACTTGAATCTGTAATTAATGCCCATGGAAGCAACAGTCAAGAAGTTAAATGACATTTTGCATTGGGCAAATCTACTGCAAAAGACCTCTTTCAGGTGTTTAAAAGCAAAGATGTCACTTTGAGAACTAAGGTGCACTTAACTCAAGACTTGGTATTTTTAATTACCTCATATGCATGGGAAAGCTGGGCAATGAATAAGGAAGACCGAAGGAACCAAGACCAAAGAAACACCTTTGAATTATGGTGTTGGTGAAGAATATTGAATATGCTATGGCATGCCAGAAGAATGAACAAATCTACTTTGAAAGAAATACAGCTAGAATGCTCCTTAGAAGAGAAGGTGGTGAGACTTTGGCTCACATTCTTTGGACGTGTTATCAGGAGGGACGAGGCCCTTGAGAAGGACATCATGCTTAGTAAAGTAGAAGGTCAGTGAAAAAGAGGAAGACCTTCAACAAGATAGATTGACACAGTTGTTACAATAACGAGATGGTTTTCCTTCTGTTGTACATAGGTCGCTATAAGTCGTAACTGACTCTGTGGCACCAAACAATTAACAACAAGGCAATTCTGGAAGTCTCCTTGGGCTTTCCTGAAAAATATGTACTTAGCCTGGGAAGAATCCAAACGACTGTTGTATAGTTTGGAATGATCTAAAAGTAGACAAGTGAATTTCATCGTGTATAGTAATTCTTTCTAGTCTATGGCTTCTTGACATGTGCATCAGAATCACTTCAAGGGCTTGCTCAAATACAATGCTGGGCTCCACCTCCACCAGAGTTTCTCATTTTTTAGATCTGGAGTAGGGCCCAAGAATTTACATTCTAGTAAGCTCTTATGCAATGGTGATATTGGTTCATGACTCAAGTTATGCTTAGTATCAGCTAAGACATATCTCACTTTAAATCTTGAGTAGATATTTTGTACTCAGAGTTAAGATATGGAATTCTGATTAATTCTTGTTTATTTTCTGTTTCCTTCCTTCTTCCTCCTCATCCTGTATATTTCTTGTGGGCAGGGAGTATGTCTTATTTGTCGTTGTATCCAGTGCATGGTTTCCTCATTGTACATAGTGGGCAGTTGGTCAGTGTTTATTGAATGTGAATGGAAGAATGAAGTATGAGAATGGCTTAGGCATCTCCTTCCAGTTCTGCTACTTCTCTGATATATACTGTATGTGTCTTCTGGACTGTTTAATTAGGTTTGAATTTAGCTATATGAAAATACAGAGGTCCCATTAAGAACAGCATCTTTAAACTGAGCCCATACATAGGTTGTCACTTTTAAAGTTATTTCTGAATTTGGTTTTACCATCTCCATGCAGGCTTTTCTGCTTTTTGCTAGGGCATGTTGTTTAATGTTTCTGGAACTCAAATTGTTCATACATAAAATGAGGGTAATGGTAATACCAACTTCAGAGTGTTTTCTGAATATTAACTGAGTTAATAACATGTAAAGGTCTTAGGACAGTGCTTAGAGTATGGTAAACACTATGTATGTGCTTGCTATGGTGATGAAGGCATGGGTATTTTATTCACAAACAATATTGTTTTGAAAGTTTAACTCTTTAAGGGGAGTTTTTCTTATTATTGGGATTAAAATGGAACATAAAATGGATTATAGTTAAAAACAACACGTAGAGATCATGGCAATTACTGAGTTGGTTTGGCTATGTAAATAATATATTTTAATATGTAATGGCAAGAATAAATGTTTTAGAGTAAAAGGTTAAGCAGTTGTAACAAGGTACCATAATGTAGTGGCTTAAGCACCAGCAAGTTTCTTTCTTTCTCATGTGACAGTACAGGGAAGGTAGGCAGGTTACTGTGCTTTCTGTTTTCATCCAGGGAGCTAAGTGAGTGGGCAGCTCTGTTGTCTTTGATGTATACTTTCCATTATTGCTGCAGATGTCATCGTTTCCAGCACGTGGGGAAAGGTAGAGCACAAATGTATGTTCTTAAAATGCTTTAAGGTAGAAATGACTTATGCTTACATTTCGTTCACCAAAACATAGTCACATGGCTGTACCTAGCTGCAACAGTGGCTGTGACATGTACTCTTAAAGTAGAGCAGGGGAGAATATTAACATTTTTGTGTAATTGACGTAATTTGTGTTTAAAAGAAAAAAAGTCAACAGATTAGCCAGGATTAATTGACCCTGCTGTGATGTACTCATTCTTATAGTAGTTGTTGTGGAAGGAAGGGGAGTATGGCCAATATGAAAATGCTTTATTTTGGTTTTATTTTAGCTTCCTTGTGGTCATAGATGCAAAGAGATGTGCCATCCTGGTGAATGTCCTTTTAATTGCAATCAGAAGGTAAAACTTAGATGTCCTTGCAAGAGAATAAAAAAGGTAAATATTGTAAGTTATTGAAAATACTTCTCTGTGTAAGTTTTTTTTTTGTCTATATGTTTTTGTTGTTCTTTGGCTTTATTTCTTACCTTTTAATTTTAAGATCTTATTTCTTAGAATCTTTTTATTACTGTTAAAATTAGCATATCTATTTATTTAAATGCTTATTTTAAAAATCAGCTTTGGCAATTTAGTTTTCGGCAATTTAATAATAAAGCTTATCTTGTGTTGCAACCAAGTTCATTGCCCCTTTTTGGATAGAACTAATGTGCTCTAGATTTGAGTTCTTTGAAGTAAAACCCAATATGAGTGATAAAGTGAGTTTTATGGTTTAAGAAGTGGTCTGGGATTAATCTTTGTTGCTCCTATTTGTGAAACTGGTTTTTGCCATCACTATTATCCTTTGAAAATGTTGCCTTAACAAGATATCATATGCACAGCATTATAAGAGAACTTTCAAACTCAGAATTAACTTTAGAATGAAATAGTGGTAATGAAAGAGTAGAAGGGCAAAAACTAATGATTGGAAGGCTGATGGAAATAAACTCTGTGCTGTTCAGCAAAACTTATGATAGAAAAGAGTTCCACTAAATTCTCAAATGTCAGTGTCCTAATGGTCTTTGTTTCTCATTTTCCTTGACTTTCCTGTTGACAGTGCTGACTCCTTTAAAATTGTTTCCTTTCTTGACCTCTGATTTACCCTACTTAGATTGTAACTCCTCTTTTTCCTTCATATTCCTGTGGGCATTCCCTAAATTGTATATAGTCTCCTTTTTCTTCTCTTTAAATTCTTTCCTTTAGAGGATTCACTCTTTCATTTATCCATTCAACAAATATTTATTTAGGATATTTTATAGGTGCTTTGCTTCTCATTTATTTTTACAGCTCCCAGTATAATTTCTTGAGTAGGTAACTTCTGAATTTAAATTTATAGTTGTGACCTCTCTGGAGTTGAATCCCTAAATTTTATGTATTTAAATTAGACCACCTTTACATAAAAATCAATACTTAGTCAAGCCATTTCTTATCTGAGAAAATGTCTTGTAAGGTTTTCTCCAGTCTCATGTCATTGCCCAAAACTTAGGCTGCCCAAGTGCTGCTTGCCACCCATTAGAACATCTAGCTCTTTCCTAGACTTTGTCAGCAGCTTCATAACTGATTTCCTTGTCTCTAATCATGCTACTTCCCTGATTGAAATTCTTCAATAGTTTATCACGTATTTCTATAAGAAATATATATGTATATGTATGTTCAGACTCCGCATATAAGGGAATCTCTGATATGACCTTTGCCTACTTGTCCAGTCTCATTCCCTAGCATTCATCTCCGTTAACTGTCACTTAAAGTATCCTAACATATGCTGTATTCCCCCTTTTGTCTGTAGAAGTGTATATATTCCTTCTTCTGTGTAAGATACAATGTTTTTTCTTTTACCCCTTTGATATTAAGGGTCCTGCTTATACTCCAGTGCAAGCATTTCTTCTTTTGTGAAGGTCTTTCCTGACTGCCTTCAGAAGACTTAGGTGTTCCTTTTGGCTTTCATTATACTAAGTTTATAACTTTGTAATTTGTGTCTATAACCTTGTTTCCTCATCTTTAAAATAGTTTGTCTGTGGATTTATTGGAAGAGATAAAATAGGTAATGCATATATAGCATTTAGCTTAATGACCACTATGCTTAATAAATAACCACCTGTTGCTGTCGAGTCAACTCTTTAACAGCGGCCCCATCTGTATCAGAGTAGAACTGTGCTCCATAGGCTTTTTAGTGGTGGATTTTTCGAAAGTAGATAGCCAGGCCTTTCTTTCGAGGTGCTGCTGAGTGGACTTGAATCTTTAACCTTTCAGTTAACAGCTGAACATGTTAACCGTTTGCACCATCAGGGTCACTCATGCTTAATGAATAGTAGCTATTATTGTTGTTATTACTTAGCACTTTTCAAATTATAAGTTATCTTCCTATTATACTCTTTTCCTTTTTGTGTCCCCTGCTCATAGTACAGTGCTTAGCACGTATCAGATACTCTGTAAGTACATTTTGAATGAGAAAAGATGTGATCCTTCTTCCAGGCTGATAGACTTAATGTCTACAAACACCCAATGCTTATTTCTGTCTCTAATGTTTGTTCATGTTATTTTTCCTCTGTCTGGACTATTTTTGGAGGACAGAATTGTGTTTCCCACCATTTTTAATCAAAAATGAACTGTGGGGGAAAACCCACTCTAATTAATAAAATGCAATACCATAAAGTGCGTTCACTTAAAGTATATGCGCTTCATTCATAGGATTTGATGATGTCATTTTTTAATTGTGGTAGATTTGAAGTTAAAAAAACTGGCATTTGAGAGTGTGGTGAGAAAGGAAAAACTGATACAAATAGGTACACTTAGAACAAATGTGACATTTGACAGCAAGAAATAGGGAATGAATAAAAGGTAGATGTCTTAGTTTCTTAGTGCTGCTGTAACAAAAATACTGCAAGTGGGTGGCTTTAACAAACACATTTATTTTCTCCTAATTTAGAAGGCTGGAAGTCTGAATTCAGGGCACTGGTTCTAGAGGAAGGCTTTCTCTCTCTGTTGGCTCTGGGGGAAGGTCCTTGTCTCTTTTCAGCTTCTGTTCTTGGTTCCTTGGAGATCTTAATGTGGCGTGGCATCTGCCTTTCTCCTGTCTCTGCTCCCTGCTTGTATCTGTGCCTAATCTGCTCTCAAAAGTGATGGCTTAAAACACATCCTGCACTGATGGCCTCGTTAACATAACAAAGAAAACCCTATTCCCAAATGGGATCACATCCACAGGTATAGGAGTTAGAATTTACAACGCATATTTTTGGGGGATACAGTTCAATTGACAGTAGTAAAAGAACTGCAAAGCAAAGTGTAAAGCTATTTAAAATGAAGACCACTGTTCTGTTCAACTCAGTAGGTTCATTATTACAACTAGTACAAACACTGATCATAGTATTGATGTCAAATCATCAAGAAAGACTAAATTAATTTTCACTTATTTCATTAAGGAGGCAGGGAAGTGCAAACATAGCTTTACAATGATTTTCATCTCAACTTATTAAAAAAAAAAAAAGTTTAATAGTTGAGAGAAAAATTTGTAGTTCTCCAGAAGAGTCTCTCGAACTGCCCTGAGATGGTAACCAGCTACCGGTGGCTATTTCAATTTGAATTTTAATTAAATAATTTTTATAAAATCAGTTCTCCAGTCACACTAGCCACATTTCAAGTGCTCAGTAACCACATATGATCAGTGCTGCTCTATTGAATAGTGTAGACAGAAAACACTCCTATCGCCCTCAAAAGTTCTGTTGGATAACATTGCTCTAGGACATTTTCTTCCCTGGACGTTTTTAAGAGTAAAAAGAAACTTCAATAAAGAATAAAAGGAAAATTGGAGCAAGTTGATAGTGGCACACAGTAAATACTTACAAATGACTTCCAAGCTTACGGTATTTTTTTTTTTTGCAGTTAAGAGAAAATAAAGAAATAATCACTATTTGAACCAAGACGTTTAATGCTTACAGCCTTGTCATCTTTAAATATTAATGAACATGGCTGTTAAATAACATGTATAACGTTAAATTAGGGAATTTTTGCTTTTTTAATGGCGTACGCTTAGGACTTTGAGGGAATTAAACCTTTTTTAAATCTGAAATTTGGATTATTTGTAGGATTTGCAGTGCAATAAAGTACGTGAAAATCAGGTTTCGATAGAATGTGATGCAACATGCAAGGAAATGAAGCAGAAAGCATCTGAGGTATTGTCTTGTTAAATATCATTTTTAATGTGCTAATGGCATTTTCCTGTTACATGGGAATTAATGTTTATTTACTTATTAAAAACATAACTTGAAATTTCATCTTTTTGCTTTTTATAATAGGCTTATTTTGAATCTTCAGCATGCTTTTTATTGCCTGGCTTTCCATCCTTTCTACCAGTTTTAGTGTATATGCTCTGGGACATAATTGTCAATCATAACATTAGCTAAGCCTTCTGAAAATTAGATTAAAATAATACAAAAATAAGATTCTGTGATTCTTTGCTGTTCGGGTTATTTAGTCTCACTGTTTCCTTCTGTCAATCCATTCAATGAATAAACTCTTGATTTCATTTGCACTAAGGACTCCCTTCTAGATAGGACATTGAAGTTAAATGATCAGTCTGCACTCTAGAGAAATGATGGTATTTACTAATTGACTACAGATTCTCAATATAGTAACTCAAGAAAAAGAAATCTAGTTCTAAAAGTATTTCACTTTACAGTGTTTTAACTCTTTAAATTGTGATCTGACATCTGTTTATCACAGATGTTAAGCTGAAATGTTTATATAAGGTGTAATACTTCTCTTCCTGCTAAATTTATTAGACAGCGCCTTGGTGACATTTCTCACTATAACATTTTCATTTCTTTGAATAATTTCCAGTTTAAAGCTTCCAAACATTCTTATGGTTAGGGGAGTCTGGGTAGGAAGACGTTAAAATTCTATGTAAAATTTGATGGTTACAAGGTTAATTTACTTTTAAATGTATATAAACAGATAAAGGAAGCAGAAGCCAAAGCTGCTCTTGAAGAGGAAAAACGAAGACAACAGGTAACTAAACGACACAACCAGATTTACATCTCTTGGCATCACTGTTTTTGTGCAAGCACAGTATATTCCAAGTACAAACTGGGGGGCTAGTCAACCCTAATCTGAACTGAAAATAATATATATAGTTCTTTCAAAACAAAAATCAGCCATTCACTTCTTCCAGATATACTGAAACTTTGAGGAGGCACGAGATCTCGTATATTCTCAGATACTTTGTATTTTCCAGTATACTTCCTCGCCAATTTTATCCATTCTCCAGCCATAAAAATTTGAACTCCTTTTTTTTGTAGGGGAGGTGAAGGGAGCAGCATTCAATTCAAGGCATTGCTTGGAGCTCATGTCCTCATTCATCTAAAAATACTTGAGTTCTGTTTTACTCAGTTGCAGATTATCTGCGACAAATAATGTGTTATTTGCTAGTCCATAAACCCAAATCAAACCAGCTACCTTCAAGTTGATTTCAACTCATGTGAACCCCATATGTTGCAGAGTAGAACTGAGCTCCATAGGGTTTTCATGGCTGTGACCTTTTGGAAGCAGATATCTAGGCTTTTCTTTCGAGGTGCCTCCTGGGTGGGTTTGAACTGCCAACATTTTGGTTAGTAGTTGAGCGCTTAACCATTTGTGTTAGCCAGGGACTCCTTACAAGCCAATTCATTTGTCTTAATAATACATATTCTTTATTTCCCTGTTAGATTCTTTAATGCAGGGTTGTTATCTGTTCTTTGTTATTACCTGGGTAACAAATACATTCCTGATACTCCCTGTTTCTCAAATACTGTGTTGATCATACACTCCAAACAGTGGCTTAACTTACTAATAGTGACGTGTAATTGTCAGTGTGAGATGCTTTATATTTATCAAGCATGGTCTGTTACATGCTAAATTGCTACCTTTATGAATGACTTTAAGGAAGGATATTAGGAAGAGTTCATGTAACCAGGATGACCTCTCATAATTTATGGTTCTGTAAAATTGACTTGACTGATAATCCTAAAAATAAGTTACCGGAACTAATATAGTCAGCCCTCCGTATCCACGGGTTCTGCATCTGCAAATTCAACTAACTGCGGATGAAAAAAAAAAAATTCCAAAAAGCAAAACTTGAATTTACTGCACACCAAGCACTACACTGAATCCACAAGAATGAAGTGATGTGTAGGCATACCCTGCCGTAGCTTCCCGCCATTCCACAGCTCCTCAGTCCCTTGCCAGCACTTGTTTTGAGCGTGCACCCTTTGTTTCTATGAAAAAATGACTTGCAGAAAGCAATTAAGTGGTCAGAGCAATCCCTCAAAGGCTAGGTGTGAGGGAGTTGAGGAGAGTGAGAGGAAGGAGTTTAAGGCTAGTAAGGGATGGCTGGCTAGCTGTGTAAAGCACTACAGCCTCCAGAATTTAAAGATCATGAAGAATCAGCGTTAGCTGATGCAGCACAGTATCAGCATTCCCGGAAGAGCCTAAGAAACTCATAGAAGAGAAAGGCTACCTCCCAAAGCAAATCTTCTATTGTGATGAAACAACTGTTTACATAACATTTACATTATATTAGGTACTATAACTAATCTGAACCAAAAAAACAAACCTGTTGTGTCAAGTTGATTCTGACTCATAGCGACCCTGTAGGACAGAGTAGAACTGGGTTTCCAAGGAGCAACTGGTGGATTCAAACTACCAACTTTCTGGTTAGCAGCTGAGCTCTTAATCATTGAGGTACCAGGGCTCCATAAGTAATCTAGAGATGATTTAAAGAATACAGGAGGATGTGCATAGGTTATATGCAGAGACTATACCATTTTTTATAAGGGACTTGAGCATCCTCGGATTTTGATATCTTCAAGGGGTCCTGGAACCAGTCCCCATGGATACCAACAGACAATTGTGTGGTAAAACATGGCTTCTCTGGAAATTCTGGGAGACTAAATTGTTAGGATTAGTTTAGGGTGTTCCCCCCTCCCCAGAAACTACTATAAATGGAAATCTTAAATATATTTCCTATTTACTGACCTTCTAAACAGAACATATAAAACATAATTTAAAGTATACTTGTTGACTGTGGATCATCATTTAAGTAAGTTATTTTACTGTTTCATTCGTTCTCAAACTTGATTGCTTTTAAGACATTTTGGGCTTTTTCTTTGTATCAGAAACCACTTGAGAATATGTTATTTTGGCTTATGGAAAAAGGCCATTTTGCATTTTTTAATGAGATGGAGAAACAAATCACCAACTTCATATGGAAAGGGAGGAGGTCCCAGAGAAGTAAAGCATTACTCAAGAAGAAGAACAAAGTGGGAGGCTTCACACTACCTGATTTTAGAACCTATTATACCACCATGGTAGTCAGAACAGCCTGGTACTGGTACAACAACAGATACATAGACTAATGGAACAGAATTGAGAATCCAGACATAGATTTATCTACCTATGAGCAGCTGATATTTGACAAAGGCCCAAAGTCCGTTAATTGGGGAAAAGACAGTTTCTTTAACAAATGGTGCTGACATAACTGGATATCCATCTGCAAAAAACTGAAACAAGACTCGTAGCTCACACCATGCACAAAAACTAACTCAAAATGGATCATCAAAGACCTGAATATAAAATCGAAAACGATAAAGATCATGGAAGAAAAAATAGGGATGCTGGGAGCCCTAATACATGGCATAAACAGAATGCAAACCATAAGTAACAATGCACAAACATCAGAAGAGAAATTAGATGACTGGGAGCTCTTAAAAATCAAACACTTAGGCTCATCAAAAGACTTCACCAAAAGAGTAGAGACAGTCTTCAGACTGGGAAAAAATTTTTGGCTACGATGGATCCAATCAGCATCTAATCTTAAAAATCTACAAAATACTGCAAAACCTCAACAACCAAAAACACCAGTAACCCAGTTAAAAAATTGGCACAGGATATGAACGGACCCTTTGCCAAAGAAGATGTTAGGTGGCTAACAGACACGTGAAGAAATGCTCATGATCATTAGCCATTAGAGAAATGCAGATCAAAACTACAATGAGATACCATCTCACCCCAACAAGGCTAGCATTAATCCAAAAAACAAAATAATAAATATTGGAGAGGTTGTGGAGAAGACACTGGAACACTTATACACTGTTGGTGGGAATGTAAAATGGTACAACCACTTTGGAAGTCGATTGGGCACTTCTTAAAAAGCTAGAAATAGAAGTACCATATGATCCAGCAATCCCACTCCTTGGAATATATCCTAGAGAAATAAGAGCCGTCACACGAATAGATACACACACCCATGTTCATTGCAGCACTGTTCATGATAGCAAAAAGATGGAAACAACCTAGGTCCCCATCAGTGGACAAATGGATAAACAAATTATGGTATATTCATACAATGGAATACTACGCAACAATAAAGAACAACGATGAATCTGTGAAACATAACATGGAGGCAGCTGGAGGTCATTATGCTGAGTGAATTTAGTCAGTCACAGAAGGACAAATACTGTATAAGACCACTATTATAAGAACTCACGAAAAGATTTAAACACAGAAGAAAACATGCTTTGATGGTTATAAGGGTGGTGAGGGAGGGAGGGTAAGGGTTATTCCCTAACTAGATAATAGACAAGAATTATCTTAGGTGAAGGGAAGGACAGCACACACTACATGGGGAAGTCAGCACAGTGAGACTAAACCAAAGCTAAGAAGTTTCCTGAATACAACCAAACACTTAGAGGGACAGAGTAGCAGGGGCAGAGGTCTGGGGACCATGCTTTCAGGGGACATCTAGGTCAGTTGGTGTAACAAAGTTTATTAAGAAAATGTTCTGCATCCCACCTGGTGAGTGGTGCCTGGGGTCTTAAAAGCTAGTGAGCGGCCATCTAAGATGCCTCAGTTGGTCCCAACCCACTTGGAGTAAAGGAGAATGAAGAACACCAAAGTCACAAGGAGAGTATTAGCCCAAGAGACGGGAAGGGCCACATAAACTGGAGACGGCATCAGCCTGAAACCAGAAGAACTAGATGGTGCCTGGCTACCACCAATGACTGCCCTGACAGGGAACACACAGAGAGTCCCTGATGGAGCAGGAGGAAAGTGGGCTGCAGAACTCTAATTCTAGTAAAAAGACTAAATGGTCTGCCTGAGACTGGAGGAACCCCAGAAAGCATGGCCCCCGGACTCTTTGTCAACCCAGCACTGAAACCATTCCCCAGGCCAAGTCTTCAGACAAAGATTAGACTGGACTATGGGACATAAAATGATACTGGTGAAGAGAGTGCTTCTTAGTTCAAGTAGATACATGAGACTAAATGGGCAGCTACTGTCCGCAGGTGAGATGAGAAGGCAGAGAGGGTCAGGAGCTGGTAGAATGGACACGAGAAATCAGGGGTGGAAAGGAGGAACGTGCTGTCACAGTATAGGGAGAACAATTAAAGGTCACATAACAATGTATGTATACATTTTTGTATGGGAGACTAACTTGAATTGTAAACTTTGACTTAAAGTCCAACAATGAAATCTTTTTTAAAAGCCATTTGTATTGAATGTATGATTGTGTCTTCAAATGTAGTTTATATCACAATAATGGATATGTTAACTGAAATTTACATTTCCTTCTATTAAATAAATATTTAGAGTATTGTGTGGGTATTACACATATATTTTAGTTAATAATTATGTTATACTAGTATACCTAAAAATAAGAAAAATTTAATAAGTTCTAAGCAATAGAAAAGGAGCCCTGGTGACATAGTGGTTAAAGTGCTTGGTGGCTAACCACAAGGTCCACAGTTCAAACCCACCAGCCGACTCCTTGGGAGAAAAATGTGGCAGTCTGCTTCCGTAAAGCTTTGCAGCCTTGGAAACCCAATGAAACAGTTCTGCTTTTGTCCTATAGGGTCACTAATAATCGGAATTGACTCGACGGCAGTGGGTTTGGTTTGGTTTTTAAGCGTTAGAATAAAAATCCACATTTTATAATGAATATAATCCACTTGTTCTTTAGGTGCAGTGGTTAAGAGCTTAGCTACTAACCAAAATGTCGTCAGTTCAAATCCACTAGCTGTTGCTTGGAAACCCTATGGGCATAGGGTCGCTATGAGTCGGAATTGACTTGACAGCAATGGCGTTTTTTTTTCTGGGTTATTCTTTTTCAGAGCAGTTTTTAATTCTATTTTTTAAAGTAGTCGTTTTGATTTAATGCTTGAAGCATATTTTTCCCCTGAAATATATGTTTTTAAATGTTATTTGATAAAGAGAAGAATCAAGTTCTGGCAACTTTTTCCTCTGTACTCAGTTGAATATCTTCCCTGTAAGCCACTAATGTTTATTACTAGCATTAGTGATAGAGCTGTAGGTATTTTTGTTCTGTCTGGGCATCTCTTAGCACTTGATAAGAGCTGCATGTTGTAGAGCCCCAGTAAATGAAATAGAAAACCAAGGTCTGTATTTTAGGACAATTTGATTTAATCAGATGTTTCTATATTTAGAATCAAAATCAGGCCTACGGTCTGAAATTATCTCTTCTATTTACTATTTACTCTTCAGTTCCATTTCTGCTTTCCTAAACTCTGAATTTGTTGAATATAGTCAGCAGTGGAGTGAGTTTTTTAAAATCAAATTAATATATTTATTATGAACCATTACTATTAAAATATTTTCTAAATTTATTTTTATTTAAATGAAAAATTTCAAATTGATGTATGTATTGAATTTAATTAAAATGATACTGTTTTGATTTAGGCCGAACTGGAGGCTTTTGAAAACAGACTGAAAGGTCGTCGAAAGAAGAACAGGAAAAGAGATGAAGTAGCAGTTGAGTTGTCACTGTGGCAAAAATATAAATATTATCTCCTTCCAGTGTGTGGAGTTGTGCTTGTAGTGTTTGCATGGTCCATTGCTCGTGATGCAGATTAAAACTTTTGATCTTTTAATATACCTCAGATTAGATTTAGACAAATTGTTACATTTGGAATACGAGAAAGTGTATATTGTAGAACAAGGCATAATTCACATTCGTCTCTAGTCTCTTCCAGCTGTTGTTAGAAGGACAGAATGTTAAGCTTTATCTTAATTAGTATACTAGAAAGGGCAGTATAACAGTGTTTAAAGTAGAAAGCATGACTTAAACTTAAAAAAATATATATTTATTAGGCTTAGCTAGTGGCAGAATAACACGTTGTTCACTGTGCTTCCTTGTGTTAACATAGTTGTTTCATTTAATATTTCAAACCAACTTGTTTTTTTCTTTTCTGTAAAATTCAGATGAAACTGAGCCATTTATGCAGAAAGGAATATTTCTCAATGTTTTATGTACTTATTAAAGGAAATTTTTCTTTATCATGTAAGTTTGTACTTTCTTAAAAAAGTGATTCTCTAAAAGACCTCTTAAATTGTAAAACAGATTCCAGAAGTTGATTTATTAGTGAGGAATTTTATCAGTCATTGATATAGATTTTCATGTAATGTGTTCCTCAGAGGAAAATATAATTGTTTTTAACAAATGCCAGACTGGATTCCTCACACATGGCTATTTCTTGTGTAAGAAACTTTTAACTGAAGTTGGCATGTTTTGTAAAACTTAAGTCTTTTCAAAATCATAATAAAAGGAAACTGATATTTATGAGCAATATGTGCTGAGCACAGGTCTTATGAGCTTTATGCACTTTATTTCTCCTTACCACCATCCGATGAGATAAATAGATTTCAGCTGGACATAATCAGTTCTTACAAAAACAAACTAATAGGGAAATATCAGTAAGACAAATCTGTTTGAATTGTAAGTCATTTTAAATAGTTCTATTTAATTTTTGTATGTTTTTTTAATTAAATTTTTCATACTACGTTTGTAATCTAGAACATTTATTATTTGATATATTCAGAAACCTTTAATTTTAAGTTAGGCATTAGTATCAAGTATAAAACTCTTAATAGTTGATGTAGAACATAGTCATTGATAGACAATAGGAAGTGGTAGAAGTGTGTTTTAAATGGAAGTACAAAGGATTATTTCAATTTTGCTACATTTAACTCAGTTTTTATTTTAATGTCATGTACATTAGTCAAGTCTTAATTGGTTTCTAGAATTAAAGGGCAGTTATTCCTCTCTTAATGGTTTTTTTTTTTTTACCTTTCCCAATTATAGAGTTACTGGGTTTGTGTATCAGAAGCTCTAAATCAGATCTGTGATGTTCAAGCCATTACTTTAATTTGCTCTAACTAAAATGAGTCTTAAGGAATATGAGTGACCAAGTTTCTACCTAGGGAGCTAGTATCATGTGTTTCAGAATCTTGGTCCATTAAACAAGCCTGAAATCTAGTAGCTTGTGTTTACATACCTTGTTTGCTGTACATAATATTTCTGAGACATTAATCCTCTAATACACCTTAAAAGTCATTGGCAACTGTCTTAGTCATCTAGTGCTGCTATAACAGAAATACCACAAGTGGATGGCTTTTAACAAAGAGAAATTTATTTCTTCACGGTAAAGTAGGCTAAAAGTTGAAATTCAGGGCGTTAGCTCCAGGGAGAGGCTTTCTCTGTCTATGGGCCTTCTCATCAATCTTTCCTTGGACTAGGAGCTTCTCCTTGCAGGGACCCCGGGTCCAAAGGACGTGCTTTGCTCCTGGCACTGCTTTTTTGGTGGTTTGAGGTCCCCTGTCTCTCTGCTTGCTTCACTCTTTTATATATCAAGAGATTGCCTCAGGACACAGTCCAGTCTTGTAGATTGAGTCCTGTCTCACTAACACAACTGCTGCCCATCCTCATTAACCTCATAGAGGCAGGATTTACAACATATAGGAAAATCACACAATACCGGGGATCTTGGCCCAGGCAAATGGATACATTTTTGGGCGGACATAATTCAATCTATGACATTCCACCCTTTGGCCCCCCCAAAAATCACATCCTTGCAGCATGCAAAACATATTCACCCTATCATATCAGCAAAAGTCCTAACTCCAAGTCCAAAATCCAAAAATTCATCTGTGAAATCTAGAATACAAGTTATCTGCTTCCAAAGGTACCATGGCAGAAAAGGCACAAGCTAGACATTTCCATTATAAATGGGAGAAACTGGAGGGAAAGAAGGGATAACAGGCAACTAGCAAGTCAACAGAACACATTACATTAACCCTCAAGGCTTTGAAAATAATCCTCTGTTCTTTGAGACAATTTATACAATGGCCCTGCCTTCCAGACTCTAGGTACTGGCCACGCTCTCCAGATTTTGAGTGGAGGTGCCTTGGCCCTGGGCTTCAGCTTCACCTTCAAGGCCCACTGGGCCAGCAACTCTGCTCCATTGGCTTTAGGCGTACCATTCTCCTAGTCCATCTGGGTGGCGACTTCACCCTTGGAAACCAGAGACCGTGGCTCCACCCTTTGAAGTCCTCGAGGTCATGGCCGTACCTTTTGAGACTGAGGCAGCTTGGCTTCTTGTGTTCTTGTCTCTTCAGCTTCTGCTTCCTGTGGCCTCTCAGCCCTCGGGCCTCACGCCCGCATCTGCCCTGCTGGGGCAAGTGTTCCAAAGCTCGGTAGCTTCCACTGATAAGTGCCTGGAGGTACCTGCCTCTGCAGCAGGAAGCCCTCTTGCTCTGTGCATTGGCAAGCCTAGCTCCACCGATAAGTGCCCAGAGGCACCCCACTCTGCCAGGAAGCCTCCTGCACAAAGGCACTCAGCTCTCTCGCTCCATGGGTCGGCTCCAAGGTGCTGGTCTTCTGGTTCTGCTGCTGCCACTGGTCCTCTATCCATTCACAGTTTCAAAGCCGCTTCCACGTTTTAGGTATCTGTTAGAGCAGCACGCCACTCTGTACCAAATTCTGTCGTAGTCATCTAGTGCTGCTATAAAGTGGGTGGCTTTAACAAAGAGATTTATTTCTTCATAGTAAAGTATGCTAAAAGTCCAAATTCAGGGTGTCAGTTCCAGGGGAAGGCTTTCTCTATCGGCCTTCTCATCAATCTTCCCCTGAAACTAGGAGCTTCTCTGCGCAGGGACCCCAGGTCTAAAGGATGCGCTCTGTTCCTGGCCCTGCTTTCTTGGTGGTATGAGGTCCTCCTCTCTCTCTGCTTGCTTTGCTCTTTTATATCTCAAGAGATTGCCTCAAGACACAATCCAGTCTTGCAGATCAAGTCCTGCCTCACTAACACAACTGCTGCCCATCCTCCCTCATTAACATCATAGAGGCAAGATTTACAACATATAGGAAAATCGCAGAATACCAGAAATCACGACCTAGCCGAACTGATACACACATTTTTGGGGGGGGACATAATTCAGTCCATGACAGGAACAATGGCTGGTTCCATACAAAATTTCAAAAGAATTTATTCTTAGCACTCCACACCACCATGGTGCTAGGTCCTCCCCACCTCAGGGGTCCCACAATGTCATTTGATGGCCTACATGCTACCTTTGGCCAGCATCCTGCCTAGTCTTCCCAGGATAATGCCCCCTCAGTGACAGTGACCACATGAGCAAAAAGTGAGATACTCAGTTCACAAAATTTGTGTGTATGTGTCAATCTATTCTAAGAGAAATCTTAGTTGTGGGATTAAGTCACATTATATTATTATAGCTAAGATTTTCACTATGTGCCAGGCACTTCACAAAGTGACATATAAATCTTAGTTTTTAATTCTTGAAACAAACCTAGTTTCCTCTGTTGTAAAATGAGAATGATAATAAACCCTCCTCATAAGGCTGCTATGGAGATTAAATAAATAATACGTAAAGGACTTTAAAATTGTCACAGGCACATAATAACAGCTCACACTAATGGGGCACTTACTATCATTTCTCTTATTGTCACCATTTACAGAAGAGGAAACTGAGGCTTATAGAAATTAACTTGCCTAAGGTCTCTCAAGTAGGAAGAGGCAGAACCGGAATTGGAACCCAAGCAGTCTACAGCCACACACTGACCTCCCTTACCTTCTGTAGCACAGTTACTAAAACTGATGAAAAAATGCTAAAGGAGTATAGCCTAGAATTACACTGTGAATTCATTCATTCATCAAGTATTTATTGAGCCCTACTGTATGGCTAGGCATGGTTTCCTGCTCTGGGGATAGAGCAGTAAACAAAACTGCATCGCTACCCTCATTGAGCTTTCATTCTAGTGAAGAATACAACAATAAACAAGTACTTAATACAATGACATGCTACTTGTTCATATGCTGAATTTTTCAGTGGGCTGGAATATGGTAGGTATGGATATATTTTTTTCTCCTTTTCATCTATTCTACATAAACTATTCCATCTCTGCAACAGGTAAATTTCCAGTTTTAATTTTTTTTTTTTTTTTGGTTATTTTAAAAGTTTTGTACCTTTTGATCTCAGCTAAAAGTACCACGTTCTAACTCCTAAAGCAAGTCCCACATTATTAAAATAGTTTAATATTTGTGTTTTTTAAATGAATTTATCCTACAAAACTGAAAATTCTGTAAGGACAGGAACTCTAAATGAGTATTAGTTGAATGAATAGCTAAATAGATAACCCATAGTGTTATTATTAGCTGTTGTTGAATTGGTCCCCGACTCATTGCCATGATGATCTCGGACTCACTGCCCCATGCACAAAGGAACTAAATGCCACCCATCGGGCCATTGTGATCCATAGGATTTTCATTGGCTGATTGTCAGAAGTAGAAGCTCTGCTGAAACCTGTTCATCATCATAGCAATACTCAAGCCTCCATCAACAGATGGGGGTGGTGGCCGTGCATGAGGTGCATTGGCTGCAACTCAAAACTGGGTCTCTCCTTATGGAAGGTGAGAATTATACCACTGAACTACCAATGCCACCAAGCCCTGGGGTAGTGTATCTGTTTTAACCACTGCTTGCCTATCATACTGGGATGCTGGCTACTCCTCTAAGATGTTTTTTACTGGTTCTCAAATTGTCTTCATTTGTTGTACTACTACTGTGTAATATGATGTAATATGTAATATGATGTGTGGCCAGAATTTAAATTCATCCTGTAAAATCACCCTTTCCACCATTCTAGAGGTAAATTCACTACCTTTAAGTTAATTTTTCCATAAATGTCTTCAAGATTTGTATGTTGTTTCTGGTTTGTTTTTCAGATTGTCTAATTAGTTGGATATATGTGTCAAATGCTAGACAATAAAAAATTCAAAAGGCTAGGAATGCTTCTTTTTGCAAAATTATTTTAGGAAACTGGATGATGGTTGTCACTTTAAAATAAGTTGACAAGTAAATGTGGCAAGTTTTTTTTTTTTTTTTTTTAAATGGAATAATGTGAATATTGCCCCAGGTCATTGAAGATTACTGTGAGCTCTCTGCATGTTCAAATTGGTTTGAATATGTTGTGAGAATTCTAATATTTTTATGACTCCCTACAAAACAAAAGTTTGTTACAAGGAGTATAAAGATGTCTAGCCTCTCGTTGATATACCATTACTCTGTAAAGGTATGCTAGTCTGTGGAAAAGCATGCAAAGAAATAACTTCAAGTATTCCCTCTGGTGATGCTGGTAACTAGAACTCGTTGGATTTTCTTGCTAAAAGGAACTTTAAGGATTGCTTAGTTTATACCATCAATGCAGTCAGCTTTATTTCTCAGAGGAGCACAGTATAGTAGGGGAAGAGAGAGGGAGACTGATAATACCCTGGTTATTTCAAACCCGTTGATTTAGCTACTTTAATTTCATAGTTCCCGTAATACCTCCACCAGAGGGCAGAAAGTGAAAGAGAAAGGAGGGAGGTGAAATAGAAAATCATACTTGGCTTCAGAATGCCTGTAGAAACCTTGGCCATTGAATCCCACCCTAATTTTATAGACTGGATTAACCTCTGTCAGAAAGACTACGTGATTTGCTCAAGGCAGAGCTAGCTGGCAGATAAACCTACTAGGCTCTTGATTCCCAGGCTGATGTCCCTGCCGTGATGATGTGTGATGAGGCAGGATCTCAGTAAGAAGAGCACAGTCCTGAAATCACCTTCAGGAGATCCCAGCTCAGCCCCTTGCTAGCTGTGTAACGTTAGGCTGGTTACCTCAACTCTAAACATGTCACATCTCTAAAATAAAGATGATAATAATAGTTGTTAGGTGCCATAGACTTGATTCCAACTCATAGTGACCCTATGTACAATGGAATGAAACATTGCCCAGTCCTGCGCCATCCTCACAATTGTTGCTATGTTTGAGCCCATTGTTGCAGCCACTGTGTCAATCCATCTCTTGGGGGTCTTCCTCTTTTTCGCTGACCCTCAACCAAGAATGATGTCTTTCTCCAGGGGCTGGTTCCTTCTGGTAGCGTGTCCCAAGTAAGCGAGGCAAAGTCTCACTACCCTTGCTTCTAAGGACCATCCTGGTTATTACCTACCTCATTAAGTAGCTGGTAGAATGAATTCATGTAAAGAGCTTAGCACAAAACCTGCCACATACTAACAGCTTAATTTTTGCTGTTATGATAAACTCAGATATTGGAGTCTAAATCTAATGTTAGAATAACACAG